ATTTGATTGGGATCCCTGTGAGAATAACCCCATCCCTTGGATTAGTCATAGGGAAGCAAAATGTAGGAGGGTTTGTGTTTTGGGAGGTTTTTTGGCCCAGTGGAAAGAAACTTGCTTCAAAGACAATTTATCCCAGAATGGGAGGGCTTTGTTTTCACTTAGGTTTTAGCAATTCAATGAGGTTTGCTTGGGCTTTAATTATAATTATTATTCTCTTTAAGCACAAAGAGTCTTAGCATATTGAAAATGTCAACAATAGCAGACAAGATTTTAGCTCTAAGGAAGAAATAGAATACCAGAGGAAGATTTAGAAGAAATAAGGCGGGCATAATTTAACTTGAACTATTGAAAGAAGAATGTATTATTTCTACAGTTCTGTTACCAGCATTCACAAATCACTAGCAGCTCTTTAAATAGAGAAAATGCCTCCTAAAAACAGAAGAGGCATAATATTTTTTCCAAAAATTATTCAACAATATTTCGAGATGTTTATATACTGCATATAAAACAGATATATGGACTAATATGTTGAATGTTTGCAACATTAAAAAAGAAGAAAAAATAAATAAATAAAAGAGAGAGAGAGAGGAAGTGCTAAGTGCCAGAAAATTAATATTGAACTTTTTCCTGTTAAATTCTGAGTGAATGTCACTGGAAAACCATTTCATACAATTGCTTGTGGGTGCAAATTGTTCAAGATTCCATAAATAATTAATTCAGCTCCAGTCAAGTAATAGCATGTCACCAGCTGCAGAAGGGAAAAGAGAAGGCTGGAGCACTGTTCTCTAACAAGTGCTCTGGGAGGAAGGAGCTCAGCATCTTCAGTGACCAGGACTGGAGGAAGGCCACAAATCACTGTGAAATGAGCCCCAAAACCCAAACTAAAAGCAGGATATCAATATTTATTTTAAAGAATCAGTCAGAACACTTAGCAGTAACTAGGGTGAAAGTGAAACAGAGAAGTCTTTGCTCTCAAATGAGGACACTGAGGTAATTATATAAACAGGGCAGAGATAAATTACAGCTGTTTAACACCGTGTTATACTGGAAATTTTTAACTTCAGCTCAAACTGGAATTGCTGCGATTCACGTAACCCTGCTGCATTGATACAGCAGTTGTGTATTAATTTTTAAAGGAATTAATCTGCTCTCTTTTATTATAGGCTCCTGTTTTTAAACTCGCTTACTACCCTAGGCATGCAAAGAGTTCTGCTTTAGGCTGCTCTGCTGCAGGGATATGCATATAACCCTCCTGCAGTCAGCTCACCAGCTTATAGTCAAGGCAGGCTCACAAAGAACTACAGCACTTTCAGACATCCACCTCAACAAAAAGAGTTTTCACTTCAGTGAAGCTGCCAAAAATACAAGTAATGCTAAGTTAAAGGTTTCATAAAGCTGATAATGCCTTCTTTTTTCAAGTCAACTACATGCAACTGGGTTACAGCCTCCATTTCACTGGTGCTCAAAAGCAAAGGTTGTACATAAATACTGTAAAGGAAGAGTAAAGTCTATGAAGCAATTCACATCACCTGTATTTATAAAGACAAATCCTATTAAAATACATATCCCAAATAAACCATGTGTTCTGTGAAGAATTAGGAAACCAAACCCTCCACAGAGGTCAGGAACTGCACATCTGCCACAGGAAACTTGAGAAGCGCTGAATTACAAGACCTTTGCCTCCTCTTCAGATAGGTGGCATATAAAAAGTACAAAGTCCAAACTTATTCACACAACCAGTGTTTCCTGGCAGGTCTTCAGAAGGGCTGCTGAGTCACCTAGAACACCCTGCACATCAGTTCAGGACAAACTGCCAGCCTTGTTTACCAGAGTGTTTTATCTACTCAACTCTTGAACGCCGTGCAGAATTGACGCCTCCCGGAACTCTCCAGCCCAGCACCCCCACTGTCCAACTGACCTCCCTGTTAGAAAGCATTCCCTATTTAACTTTGAGTCATTACTTCCTATGACACAACCCATGATCACCTTAAATAATTCCTCCTCCTCCTCCTCCACTCATGTTTCCTCCCAAGTACCTGGCCGCTCTATTCCCGCGGGCAGGCTGTATATAGTGTGTTCCTCAGGCCTCTCCTCAGAGGTCGTACTCTCACATCCTTTCATCATTTTTGTCACCTCCTTGAACTTTTTTCCATTTATTTCACTGTACAGCCTTTAATGATAAAAGCAGTCCATACAAATAATACCTCTACTTGCAATTGAAAAAACATTGCTAAGTGAAAGAGGCAAGTGAATCCTCACTCTCTCAAGGAGGGAGCCTTTTGAGTCTCAGATTCCTGTGTCTGGGCCAAAGTAACTAACAGAAAAGGTGAAAGTGCTAAATCTTCCCATTTCTGAATTATTAGTTTTTTCTTATCGCCTTGCAAGAGGAACACATGCTTTTCAAAGTATAAAATTGTTTTCCTGGCACACATACACCTATTACAATTGAGACAAATATATCTGGGATTTTTGCAGATGGAGAAAGGAACATTTTTCTCAACTGTTTAAGGAGGGACACTCTTTAGATTAGGTTTACTTCAGTCCCTAAATGCCCTTTTAATACATACTCTAAGATAGTTAACATTTCATAAATGCATTTACCCTCCCTGTTCTGAATAAGGGCTGACTCCAGGATTATAGCAATACCATTGAAAAGGTTTTTTTCCTTCTCGTCCCCATTCTTACAGTCAAAGTAGTTTCATAGCAAAATACTAAATCTTGAAAATTTACAAAAGGTCAATAATTTCTACTGCAGTAACTTTGACATATGACAGAACCAGGCACTGAGATGTTAAGACAGTTAAATGAAAACCTGCCTAAATAAAAATTTGAGAAATTGAATTCTTCCACGATTCAAAAGTTTTTTGCACATGAGATGGCAGAGTCCCCTTACTTTGTACATCCAAAATCACATGAGATCTCTCTGGCCCACCCAAGAGATGATGAGACTGAAACCTGGATCTGTATTTTTAGCAAAAAAAATGTATCACTTGCAGTTTCAAACCAGGCAGAATAGATCTTGTACCAGCTTCCAATGGCTGATATCTATGACTTGTGCTAAGAAAAATCTGTTAAATCTGTTTATTTCAGGTTTCATAATCGGAACACTGTTCTTATTTTTGTTCTGCATTTCATCAGAGGGCTGGCAGTCAGCACCTGGTTTTCATGAAGATATGGTATTAGCCAATATATTTTAACAAAAATCTGGTTGAAGCTTGTCAGACATTTTTTCCCTATTACAAAATATCAACTCAACAAAACTGAAAATCTTAATAAGAAATCTCTTTTTCACTTGAAATTTTTGATTTCCAGAAGCAGGGCTTTAAAACCTCTTTGTTCTTCAATTATTTTTTCTAACTGGAGTTTAAAAAAAAAAAATTAAGTATGTGCAAAATCTAAAAATAAAATCTTTACATTTTCTTCTAGTGTTGTTACTTAGATTCTCCCCTACACGCTGCACCTCCTATCTCAAGCCTTTTGAGAATTCCTTCCTAAGATTTAAATTTCCTCTTATAAAGCCTTTCTGAATCTATCAAGATTCAATATAGAAAGATTGCCAAATAAATTACTTTTCATTTCTGCCCACTGTTAAACTCCTGCAGGGAGCTGGAAATATATCAGGGTCATTAGTCTTAATGCCTATAATACACAGTGCTTTAAGGTGAAGTGAGCAGTAAAGAGTTTAATAGAGTTCAGTGCTGGCCCCTACTCTGGAGACACCTCGGGCTCTGACAGGGCACTCACCTGACTCACCAAACAGTCCCAGAGCCCTGCATCCCCAGGGGGACACAACTTCCACCCAGCTGCGGGCTGAACAAAACATTTCCTTTTACTCTGGTTTGGATACTTTGTTAGGACTCCGTGGAGAGCCAAGCAATGTGCATTTCTGCTGGAGGTCTCCTATGAAAACCACTGACTGAGCTGTGCAGAGCTGCACACACTTTGAGGGCACTAACTCCTGCACTCTTCTACTGGAAACACCTGTGTGTGCACAAACCTGAGGAGAATGTGCTTAGTCTTTTCCAAACTACCTATCTGCATCATTTACTTAGGATAAAATTTACCTTGTTATTTAAAAAATCACTGATGAACACAAATGTGGATAATTTACTAAGGCTCTTACGGTAAAAAAAAACCAAAAAAAAACTCTAATGAGCTAATTTGAGTTGATTTTTTTTTAATTTAACAGGCTTTGATGCAGCAAAACTGATAATAGAAACAGGTCCCCTCTGCATTTTAATTTCTTGGTTCAGTTATATCCCTGGTTAGTTAAAAAAAAATTCAAACCCCTACTTTATTGCCAAAATCTTAGCTAATGAATACACAAACTGGAATTGAGGCTCCAATTCTCATTCTCAACTCTGGCATACAAAGCACTGTAAAATAATTCATTATTTAATATTAAGAAAGCTGGATAAAACTAATTAATGCCAAAACTTAGCCCACAGCACGTTAATTAAAAGTTTGCCCAACAGCTACCTCCCTGTCCTAATTAGCATCCCTGATTTCAAGAAACCACTAAGAAAGGAAGACAAACATATAATTCCAACTTCATATTTCATAAAGATCTCTTTGATACAACTTTCAAACAACAATAATATGCCCCTTTAAAACAGATTTGGAGATTTCCACAGCAAAGGCAGATCTCTCGTGCACATTATGTTTCATTTATAATAGATTATCGCAGATTTTCTGGTCACTTGTTAACAGTGGTTGAAATCCAGGACAAAAGTACTGATACAGAAGACAACCAGACAAAAATAATTACCCCCCACAGAGCTGGATATTATATTATCTTATATAATATCTGGCCCATGTTGCCCCACTTGCACTAACCACAAAGCAAGCATTCCCTGGAGCATGTGATATTTCAATTCCCCAGAAGTCTGACAATCTTACTTGACATTAAAGAACCAGCACTGTCAAAAGGGAAAAACATGGGTCATACTACATGTTTCTGAAATGTTGATGATTAAAAAAAAAAAAATCTCAACACTGACCTCATTAATAAAAGTCTGGGCTCCCCGTGGGCTCAGGAGTAAGATGGCCCTTCGCAACGTGTCCCGATAGCGGTTCAGCTCTTCCGTTTTCATGGTGGTAAAAAGGTTGGAAAATACTCTGCTGATATTCCTGTCCACTTTTTGTAAGGATACATCAAGTCCCAGCCTGGAGGCCTGATCGAGAAATCCCTGCAGTCCACGTATATCTGTAACAGGAGGAAGGGAAAATTAAAGGAAAAAAAAGAAAAAAAAAGAAAAAGCAAGGGGGAGAGAGAGAGAGAAGAGAAAAGAAAAAAGTCACTGCACCAACCTCATCCAGTTAAATAAGAAGCACTAATTAGGTGGAAATTACTTTTTTTTTCCTTTTTTCCTGCAGTGCTCTCTGAAGAAGAGTATTCCACACAGCCATTTTCCATAGTTCCCTTTCATAGTGAGTACCAACAGGGACACTCCATCAATTACCTTCCCCTGAAGTCTGACAAGGACTCTCAGGAACAGCCAGTTCATGCATTTGGGTGCTCCTGCAAACCTCCCCAGAGGCTCAAGGCTGTGGGGTTTAACACTGCACAAACAACCAAGTCCCACCCCAACAGCATCACAGGTCAAATTCAGAAATCCAGGAGCAGATAAATGAGCAGGGGATAAATCACTCACATGTAAACTTCTCACCTTCTATAACTTCACACAGCTCCCTTTCTCAAGAAAAAATACAATATCCAGAACATACACAGCCTTCCTTCTGACTTACCCTTTTTTCCCTATCCTGGAAATAGCCTGCCTAACCAGAGGTTTACCATTTATCCATAAGCTCATAAAAGAATACACCAAGTCCCAGCATAATTACAATATTTTAGTGTTTAAAAACAACAACAACAAAAAAAAATCAAAATCAAAAAAACCAAAAAAAAGTGGTTGAAAGAAACCATGCAAACAAGCCCCTTCAAAACATGTTCCTTTGAGCTCTGTGCCTCAACTTAAGGATGATTTGAAAAAATATATTTCCTTAATCACATTTTTGGGCATTAACATGAAGGAATAAATTTCATAAGTTCATGCTGAAATCTGCTCGTTCAAACTGTACTGTGTCTTCATGGCTCTCAGCATTTGTCTGTTATAGATGTCTGAAGTTTTATTTTGTAGTGAAATTTAGAACAAAAAAAAAGGTCAAAGCTTATATTGAACCAGGCTGCTCTCAAAATTAGCAGTGACTTGATCCCAGCTGTACCATGTCCTTAGAAACCCTTAATTTTATGGGAAAAATGTCTGACTTGTTGTGAATAAGAAAGTATTGAAGCCTCTCATTTCACACTTTTGTCATTAAATTTCAGCCCAAGGGGAAAGCCCAATGGTGGAAGTTGAAGCACATTAACTCTTCAGAAAATGCCACTGTAACTAACAATCTCTACAAACTTCATTGTAACAGCTGGTGGATAGTTTGGGGTTTTTTAACCCAGCAGTAACCAGGTTGTGACACTGCTCAAGAGAGGAGCCCAGCCCAGCTGCAGCCAGCAGCACGCCCTGCCGCCACACCTGAGTGGGCTCTCAGATCTCCTCAAACATGGTGCTTTCCATGGCCACAGAATAAACATGTGAACTCCTTTTCATCCCCCTATAAATGTCGTATGGAACACTGTTAAAGTAACATCTGTGAGGATACACCAGTTTAGCTCATGTACAAGTGCAGTATGTTAGGGTCAGCTAGCAAATATCAGATCCAAAAGAAAAACAAGCTGCCTTGAGTAGCTTCACACATCTATCCAAACACGTGAATGCTTGCTAATGTGATTAATTCTGCTTCAAAAATCAGCTGAATTGCAGAGAGACATCCAAAATAGTAGAAACTAAACTTGGGTTGTGCCAAGCACAGCAGACTCCCTACTGACTTTTTAATTTTGGTTTAGTTGACGTGATCAGCCAGCCATCCAGCCACGCCATCAGGAAAGGTGCACTCACGAGGGCTGTGCTGATCTTCTGCTGCTCAACTCAGGCAAGTATAGAGCAGCTTTGTCCCACTGTCCAAAACTTGCTCACCATCCAAAATCCCAATCCCCAGTCAGGGGGAAAAGGAAGCGTTTATTGTTATGCAGGCATTTCTGGAAAGCAACAGAGGACTTCAACATGTGTATAACTACTAAATATTGCAGGTGGGCTGAAACAGTGACAGTGACAAACAACCATCATTTACAAGTTAAAGCATTTCACTAAAGTTGTCAAAGTAAGCTTGAATGTTGTGAATTTAAATTCATTAGATAGCATTCATTACTATACCTATGCAAACTTTATGGATACATGTGACACAAAAAAACAGAGATTTTTCTTTCAATGATGTTTAGTCCTTCGAAATTACTCCAGTGCTTGACAAGCAGTAAGAAAATTCCCTTTCTCATGGTTTAATAATGACTTGTCTTTTTGTGCAAGCCTCCAAAGGAAAGCTGTTTGCAAAAGATTAACTGTGCTGATATTGCTCTGGGGGGGTTTTGCCTCACGTTTTCAGCTGACCTGATGAACTACAAGTTAGAAATATTCTTGTAGACAAGTGCAAAATACTTCATGCACTTGGTAAGACTATCTGGACTTTGAAGTGCATTTTATGTTCCCTTATAAACTTTTCCCCAAGGAAAACAGCCTATTTTCCAGTTTGAGGGATGGAAAGGATTCTGAGTTTTTCCAGCTTGGTGAGAAAGCAAAATCTGAGATGGATGAGATTGTCCAAGCTCAACTGTGCAAGTACAGTCTGTGAGTTTTTCACAGACATAAGTGAATGTGAATTTATTCAGTGTTGGCAATTAGAAAGAACTGTGTGATGATAACTTCCTCAATGCTGACATGCCTGCTCCTACTCGACACCAGGAAAAAGAAGAAGGCTTGGTGGGAATTCAAAGGTGAAAGTGGGAACTGAAGAGAATTGTTTGAAGAGGTGACTAACAACTTTAGGTGTCTACATAATGGAATCTTTTTTTACAAATAATTATTCACAACAGTTACCAAGAGGGCAATCTTTTCTTAAAATGTATCAGTACACAAATACACAAACACATGCCCATATGCAGGAACATCTGTTTATAAGACATAATAAATTAGGCTCAGTCTTATTTTATCTGCCATTACACAAGGAAGTGAGTGCCCTCAAAGTCCATGCAACGTTAAAGAAAAACTGAGCTTTGTTCCACAGCAGCTGAACAGGAATATTCACAGGTACAGTTAGGAATTTCTTTCTACTTCTCATAATCTAGGACTGCTAATCCTTCATTTTTTTCAACACTAAAAGGAGTTTGATACAGTTCACATAGAATGTGATCAAAATAAAGAGTTCTATAAACAGTTTTGTGTGTTAAAATACGATTGTTTCCCGTCCCTTGTGGTCTTAACAGTGATTTTTTATTTAAAATTTTGTATTCTAACATTAGAGAGTTATCCCAGACCATTACTAATGAAATAATTCCTTGTGCCCATTCATTTCACACTTTGTAGGCAAAGTATAGCAATCCAAATTCTCACTTCTGTCTAGAACAAAGGGCAGACTGCTTTGTTGTAGGTACACAACCTACAGCTACCTCTGCCTTCAGTCTTGCAATCACTTACTTTTCTCAGGTTGTAGCCTACACTTGACCCTTGAAATCACATAATCATATTTTAACTTTCTAATTTCTCCTCTGATTTGTGCCTGCTTAGCATGAGGACTTTCAGAGGCAGTGTTTGAACATTTCTCTTAGAGAACATTAGTTTCTTGAAGAGGATGAAACATTTCAGAAGGAAAACTGCACTAGAGAAAATGCATCTCTCATAGATGGATCCATAACACCATACCATAATTGGGTATGTTTACAATGCTCCAGTGTCAACCCCAATTATGAATCAGCAGGTTGGAACTGGAACTAGAAAAAAAGTAAGAAAAAAAAGAAAAAAAAACCCAAAAAAACACATTTCTTATGAACTTTGTGCCTCTTCTGTTACATCTGACCAGAGAGAGAACAGAATCTCTGTGTCTGAGAGCCTTCTTCCTAATGCTGACAGATAAACCACATGTGCAGGTCTGGCAACAGAAGAAAAGGACAATTTTAAGGATAACCATTACAAGGAGGGAAGGAAAACCTTGATACACTCCTAAGACATGAATTCTGTCACTGTGACTACAAAACTAATGCTTGCCATAAATAAAGGGCTTTATTGTACTATAAAGAATAATGGAATATATAATTTCCTGCTGGAGGTTAGGTTGGGTACTGTGCTGGCTGATTGGAACACAAACATAAAAGAATAGTACTAAATGTGACATTAGCTACCTGTAAAGCTTATTGTCACGTACAAAGCACTTCATTTTTATTACATCATTTATAATTTTTTCATACAAAAAAGATCCTCGAGTTTACTGTAGCATTCATCTTTTATGAATTTACAGGATTTGATTCTTGGACTTGACAAAAGAGCTTGAAGCTATTATTTCTGTGTGAAACAGCTGTGTGGCTGGGCACAGCTGGCCTTTTAGGATGGCTCATTGCAGAAAGGAATTTCCAGGAGGTAAAGAGCACTATATCATCTTTTCAACACCAGTTCCTAACCCCACTTGACAGAAATAGAGGCAGCACATGGCCAGGAAACATTTTACTTTGGGTGGAAAACAGCTGGAAGCAAACTGAAGTACCAAGTTGGAGCTGGAAGCACAGCTAAAGAAGCACCAGGATATAACTTCACACCCTGTCATTCTTATCCAAGCAGATCCTGGGAGCACTAAGAGTCATCACCGAGTTCTGTTTTCAAATAACCTATGCAAATCCTTTCACTGGTATATTTGTAAAAGGGAAAAATAAATAAGTGTGAAAAACAATGAGATCAGGCAGGAGATGGTGAGGTTTGGAGTTTTCTCATTTGCGGATTGCAGGCTCTACACTTCACACTTTTTTCCCCCAGTGTCAGTTTTATTTGAGCATTATTTTGATGATATTTAAAGTACTGAGGAGAGTGTCAAGTAGGCTTGGATAGTTTCATTATTTTAGCATTTATACACATATAAAAATAAGTTTACCCTTTCCAAGTCTTCACCTTTCTACCATTCCAAGTATTTACCTTTTCCAACGGTATTCACGGCATTGTTATTTAGATTTAAACTCCAAGGGAAGGAAAAGAAAATACTGTTTCTTCTCTCTCATTCAAAGATATGCTTTATTGTCATTTTGATTCTCTTCAAATAGGACAATTATTTAATTTC